GACCAATAGAGTTTCAGCTTAACTCTGGATTTAGGGAGCCAAATTCACTTTACTGACATGGAAATTAAGACCCAGAATGGTGAGGTGACTCATTTGATTTTAAATTGTTAACAAGTGATTAATTCACAATTGGATCCCAGTCCTTTTGGCTCTCACTCCAGTTCCCTTTCCAGTATACAATGGGCATTCTGGATAAAGGTTTCTGTTTTTTTATGTTAAAGAGTGTCCTACAGGGAAAGAAGATCAGGAAAAGCTTGTGAGACATAATTAAAATACTTTTTTTTTGTGTGTGTGCAGGAACTGGGGAGAAGGTTGGTCCTTGGTCCGTTCAGACAGGGCACTCGTCTTTGTGGATAATCATGACAACCAGAGGGGCCATGGAGCTGGAGGAGCTTCCATTCTCACCTTCTGGGATGCCAGGTAAGTGGTAGAGTCCTCTTCCTTTTTTATTTTTTAATCTTACTAATGGTCTCTAAAATTTTTTTCTTTTCCTTGATGACCATACTTTATCACTTCGAGATTGTACAAAATGGCAGTTGGCTTTATGCTTGCTCATCCTTATGGATTTACACGAGTGATGTCAAGCTTCAGGTGGCCAAGAAACTTTCAGAATGGACAGGTATTTTTACTTTCAACATTTAGAGAGTACTACTATATAAAGAGTCCTGTGGGGAGGCATTGGGGAAAGATATACTCAATCAATAATCCATTGATCCGTAAGCATTGATTGTTTACTCTATGCCTACTGTGCAAGGTTGCAGGTACACGAAGGAGTATCAAAAACTGAATAGGGCATAGATCTTTCCTTTATTGAGCTCACAGTAAGTTGGGAAGATACAGTGAATATACAGAGAAAATGAAATTATAGTTAGTAAGTATAAGAGAAGGGGAGCCAGATCGAATTCTTTGGAGATACAAGGCAGAAGAAAGTTTGTCACTTACTCAAGAACCAGGGAAGGTTTTATGATGGAGGTGATATTTAAACTGAGCTTCAAAGCTGGTTAGAGACAGGATTGGATTCTAGGTACAATGACTACCATTGAATTCTCCACCTAAGTCAGAAAGTATTGAAAGTTTTCAGGGGGTGGCAAAGAGTGAAATTTGGCTAAAGCATAGAATATGCGGTAGAGACGATTAGGAGATAAGATTGGAAAGATATAATGGTCTCAGATTGTAAAGGTTCTGAATAACAGGCTGAGAAGTTTAAATTTTGCTCAATGAGCAGCTGGGAGTTACTGAGGAGTTTTGGGCAGAAGATGATACAGTCTGTGAATAGGATCATAGATTTAGAGCCAGGAGAGACTATAGGCCATGTACGTGGTTTTCAGTTGAGGATATTGTGGCCCAGAGTCCTTTGTCCAGGTTCACATGAGGAGGAAATAGCTGAAGCAGGACTCCAATCGAGTGATAGGGAAAGGGAGAGGGAAGAACCAAATAAATGAAATCACTGATGCTTATGTCTCCGTTTTGACAAATTAAGGATGCAAATGATTGGGTCGGACCACCCAATGACAATGGAGTGATTAAAAGAGT